CTTAACAAGATTTCAGAACGTTGCAAAAGTTAGAAGAGCTTCACAATTCCATTGTGACAGCATCCCCTAATTCAGAACACGGACGATCCATGACGATCCTTCGCGATGCAGTCAGTGGTCTTATGAAATAAGGAAACGTACTCGTGCTATAGGAACACACGCGGATTTCGGACGAATAAATCTTCCTTGTATTTTGTAGATAACAATACTTTGTTTCATAATAAACAATTTGTCAAGTGTCATTTAATTACTGGTAATAGTGCATGTTTCAGTCGGGCAAATCTTGATTAATATTTGATACCCCGTTTTTTGCATATTTCAGACACATCCAGAAATATGCTCCCGATTTTAAACATTAATATCTCCGCGAATTTTTAAGTGAAAAACAAGTGTAATATATCAAAATCTAAGTTAGGGCTTCCTCTATTTGATGCAAGTTATTTCTCTTTAAAAGCTTTACTGGTTTCGAAGTTATTACGAATCAAACCGGAGTACTTTTTTTTGGGCCACCCGGTATATTATATTTACATAAATATGTCAGAAGAATATCAATAACTCAATACAGTTAAAGAAATGACAAATATATACAATTGTAAATATATACAATTGTGAACGTTTGCCTGTCCAAACTTTATAAATTATTCTCTTAAAAACACGATCCATAGCATATACTCAGTACCTACTACCTATAGGTGCCTACGAAATAAAATCGTTCAAGAGCCTTGAATGACAGAAAAATATCGAGCAGCATTAGGAGGTTTAAAAAATTATTGGATTCAATGAAAATCCACCCCTTCAAATGATCTGCCTCTAATACATAATATTTCTAGAATCTATATAACGTCGCATGCAAATCGGCCATTTCTACATGTGAACCTCTTAAGTTTATAATAAAAACGAGGATTATTTTCATTATAAAACAACAAGCTAAGTCAGCACTATTTAAAGTTCGAAAATGTCAGCAAGTAAATGTCATTTAATTCTGCCTAACAGAAGCTCCAAAACTGAGGCGCTTTTTTACAATATTTTCAAAAGTTTTCCGTGAACGACGGCGTATAGCCTTTCATAAATACGTACTGAATCATTTAAATGCTGATTAAAAAATTCCATTGCTTAAAATTTGAATGGGTGAAAACATATTCATTTCACAGATCTAAGGCTGGTATACTTTAATTTAATTAAGGTATATTATAATTAGTTGCGGTAGTAATTGTGTGTTTATAAAATGCTCCGCCGTCCGCAGTCCGCCGTCCGCGGTCCGCCGTCTGTCCGCCTTTTATCTACACCCTATTGAAAAATTGCTTTGCTAAGCCAAATATGTCAAATTCAAACCATTCAATACCAATTGCAATCAAGCAGTTATCCTGAACCTCTGAATATAAGACACATCGGTAATGTCTAACTGAACAGTTCGGGCTCTGCTCTACAGTAAATTTCCCTGTACAGTAATCAGAGCCTGGGATCTGTGACCCAATACATCTTCAGTGTCTTCATACGGTATATTGTCACTATTTTAGAAGTATAATGGTGATGTAAGTCAGGTGGACAAGTATTAGGGTGATGTAAGTCATGTGGACAAGAAGTTAATACAAGTTCTTTTGAATGTTCAATTAGCAAGCGTAATGGTGCACTAGCTTTTGCCAGACCTAACTGGCAGAACTATAACATTGACTTTTCTCTATAATTTTGTTGGAATGTGTTATATGTACTACAAGAAATGGCCCAAAGCATCAAAACGTGGAACGTACAGACAAAGAATAGCCCATGGAACGTCAAAGTTATAAATATAATACTGTATTAGCCTACATGTAACTTGATTGTGCAGATAGGTTTTAAAATTAATTTGGCCAAATTTAATTAAAATAATAAAAAGTCAAGCAAATTTTTGTCTTTAATTTTGAAATATTTTGCTTGGTTGGTATGGGCATGTACTAAAACACGGAACACTAATCCGGAACACCGGAACAGCCCAGAACTCCTCCGGAAGAGACCGGAACTCCTCCGGAACAGCCCGGAACAGCCCGTAACACCCCCGAAACAGCCCGGAACACCTCCGGAACAGCACGGAACACCCCGGAATAACATGGAATACCTCCGAAACAGCATGGAATAGCCCGGAACACATCTGGAACACCCCGAAACACCTCACGAACTGCCCGAAACACCTCCGGAAAAGCACGGAACAGTCCGATACAGCCCGGAAAACGCCCGGAACACCTCCAGAGCTATGGCTTTTAGCCGTTTAGGCGCCAAATAAGCCCGCCAAATCTAATTGTTTCGAAAACATGGAGGAGTTCCAGAGAACGGGTATGTAAAAATGGAGATTTCATTCGTAATATTAAATCGGAAAACGTTGCAACATAAGCACAAATTTGTTATATGTATTTAAGGCGAAAAACATGTAAAATATTCAGCCGAGCTCGAGGGTGAAGAGTTGTTTGAGATGAAGGCTGTGGAGCGAGAGCATGGTCAGTAAGTTGATTATATTGTATATTAATAATCTAGAAAATATATAAATTATACTTATACATTGTAGTTGGTTGTTTGCATGTGATTGGACATTCCAACACATTAAAAAATTCCTATTACTAAGTTGAAAGTTGCTATAATTTTGTCTTGGAACATCCTAATCTTGAATTGAGTTTTATTTCTAAATGATGCAATGCCAATGATAAAATCAGGTCAATCAGGGAACAAGAATACAAAAAACCTGTATATTTGTAAAATTTTTAGCATCTCAGTCAAATATAATAATCGGGCTAAATACTTGTACTAGTCTAGGACCTGTATATGAGTTTGTTTGCATGTCATTTAGGACAGATAATCTCAACAGTTTTAGGGCAAGTTGACCATGACGATCGACATGGTAACGCTGCCCGAACCCCAATCCGGGGCGTAACGTCCGAAACTGACCCCACCCAAAAACGACGCTCTCGCCATAGTGCTATCTACCAAACCATAAAAGCTTTGGCTATTCTGAGGTGGTTATATGGTTCAGAGATGGTGCTTTTAGGGGTGGTCATTGGTAAGTGAGAAATGCCTAGCACTGATATTTCCCAAGAAAATGACCATGCAATACTCATAGTCAAACGTCAATTTGTGACTTGCAAATTCAGATAAACAGCAGTGGACCTACATTACCTTTTTTCCTAAATCTTTTTTATAGAAACATAATTGGTACTTATTTAAGTATATTATCACTGCTTTGCTGTAAAATAGTTAATACTTTGTGACCGAAATAATAATTTGAAATGTACCTATCTGCAAATGGACGTATTTTGCCAATTCTCCACTTTCCTCCGCTGTTTATCGCCAATGTCGTTGAAATCCTTCCAAATATCTACGGCAGCTCAGACAGAATGGTATCAAGCACATTTTAAACAAGTTTTAAATAGGTTTCAAGCAGATTCTAGCTGTTGAACCATTGACAAGGTAAAACTTTGTCCAATTCGGCGCCATTTTGTCATCCCATGTCGGTTGTAAACATTTCGCCCTTGTTATTCTTCCATCCAAGCCATTTTCATTCCAATAATAATAAATTGAACCCTTTGTTAAGGGTATCAAAATAAATATACAAACAAAATAGAAAAAATGTAGCATTTTATCACCCTGTAAAATCTTGCTTACGAGTCTTTCAAAACACTCCGTACAACAGGGGGGTGGGGGGGGGGGTGAGACTTTGAAGAATAAAGCAAATAAATAGCACTCAGTTTTAGCAGTGTTGTAAGACCATCAATCAACATTTAATTTATACGTCGCTACAAGAAATAAAGCAAACGTTTGTAAGAATGTATTTAGTTTTTAGTCTATTTCACGCAGCCTTCTTCTATCTTCATGAAAAATTCCCCCTCCCCCCCCCTGTCACGGACTTGATATTTTGCCACGCGAGATTTGTACGGAATGTTTTGAAAAACTCGTAAGCAAGATTTTACAGGGTGATAAAATGCTGCTGCATTTTTTCTATTTTATTTACATATTTATTTTGATACCCTTAACAAAGGGTTCAATTTATTATTATTGGAATGAAAATGGCTTGGATGGAAGAATAACAAGGGCGAAATGTTTACAACCGACATGGGAAGACAAAATGGCGCCGAATTGGACAAAGTTTTACCTTGTCGATGGTTAAACAGCTAGGATCTGCTTGAAACCTATTTAAAACTTGTTTAAAATGTGCTTGATACCATTCTATTTGAGCTGCCGTAGATATTTGGAAGGATTTCAAAGATATTGGCGATAAACAGCGGAGGAAAGTGGAGAATTTGGCCAAATACGTCCATTAGCAGGAGGTAGGTACATTTCAAATTATTATTTCGGTCACAAAGTATTAACTATTTTACAGTAAAGCAGTGATAATATACTTAAATAAGAACCAATTATGTTTCTATAAAAAAGATTTAGGAAAAAAGGTAATGTAGATCCACTGCTGTCTATCTGAATTTGTAAGTCACAAATTGACGTTTGACTATGAGTATTGCATGGTCATTTTCTTGTGAAATATCAGTGCTAAGCATTTCACACTTACCAATGACCACCCCTATTAAAAAATCACCGTCTCTGGACCATATAAGCACCTCAGAATAGCCAAAGCTTTTATGGTTTGGTAGATAGCACTATGGCGAGAGCGTCGTTTTTGGGTGGGGTCAGTTTCGGACGTTTCGCACGGGATTGGGGTTCGGGCAGAGTTACCATGTCGACCGTCATGGTCAACTTGCCCTAGAACATTTGAGATTATCTGTCCTAAATGAAATGCATACAAACTCATATACAGGTCCTAGACTATACTTAATGTGGCTCAATACATTTTTAAAAAAATGACCTTTAAGGTTTTTATAGAAAACATTGATTTGTCATCTACTGTAAGGGGCACATTTAAAGTTTGTTCGTTCACTGCAACCACGTATATCAATCATGTTTCGCTCGCTACTCTGGATTAAATAAATGATTACAAAGCCCAGTCGAATTGTAATCAAGACCCAACGTTTCGACACTCTAGTCTAGTGTCTTCATCAGGGGTGATCTAAAGTTACAATCGTGGCTTCTTAATTGACGTCATCCATTGGGTATTTAAGAAGCCATGATTGTAACTTTAGATCACCCCTGATGAAGACATTAGCATCATTGGCATTGCATTTATACATAAAACTCAACTCAAGATTAGGCAATCCAAGACAAAATTATAGCAACTTTCAACTTAGTTATAGGAATTTTTAATGTGTTGGAATGTCCAATCACATGAAAACAACCAACTACATTGTATAACTATAATTTATATATTTTCTAGATTATTAATACCCAGCGGGCAAAATGACGTTTATCCAACGTTGAATCAACGTTGGAAATTTCCTTCCAGACGTTGGATAGACGTTGAAAGAGGGTTGACTATGCAAATTGGATCGACGTTACTGTTTCGACGTTGAAACAACGTTGAAATTAGGTTGCCAATCTCGTCAACCATAATTCAACGTTGAATCCACGTTAAAACAACGTTGAGATTGGTTCACAAATCGACGTCGTACATTTAACCATGAATGAACATTAATTCAACGTCTGTTGGCTGCTGTTGAACCAATGTTTGTAAAACAACGTCAGAGCAACGTAGATATTAGGTTGTCGACGTCGCAACCTTTTTTCTACCACATTTCAACGTTGAAACAACGTCGTGTGCCCGGTGGGTATACAATATAATCAACTTACTGATCATACTCTCGCTTCACAACCTTCACCTCAAAGCTTGGCTGAATATTTTACATGCTTTTGGTCTTAAAAATATATAACAAATTTGAGCTAATGTTGCAACGCTTTCCGATTTAATATTCGAATGAAATCTTCATTTTTACAAACCCGTTCGCTGGAACTACTCTATGTTTTCGAAACAATTAGATTTGGCGTGCTTATTTGGCGCCTAAACGGCTAAAAGCCATAGCTCCGGAGATGTTTTGGTCGTTTTCTGGGCTGTATAGGACTGTTCCGTGCTCTTCCAGAGGTGTTTCGGGCAGTTCCTGAGGTGTTCCGGGTTTATCCGGGCTGTTTCAGAGGTGTTCCGGGCTGTTCCATGCAGTTCCGGAGGTGTTCCGTGCTGTTCTGGGGGTGTTCCATGCTGTTCCGGGGGTGTTCCGGGCATGCCTCTGGTATGGAGTTTTAATAACGAGGCCCACCAAGGTGTTGTGACCGACAGGCGACATTCCTTAAAAAGAGGTGACAGACTATCTAAAAAAGGAACAACAAACGACAGTTTCTGACTGGGAAAGAGCGACAAATTGCGATTTGGGTTATGGGTCAAAAGTGACAGCGATATTTATTACAATAAAACAAGCGACAAAGCAGCTACAAAATTAGTGACAAGCGACCTAGGTTACACCGTTGGTGGGCCTCATTAACAGTAACAACTGTCCTAAGACCCTTATAACCAAAATGTCTGCTCTGCAGGAACTGTAGCATGAAATCATTGCGGGAACATTCTGCAATTTAAGCAAGAATAGATTATAGCCATAGGGGCTATCAATATATGGAAGCCAGGCTGGCAGAATAATTTATTATTTCCTTGCCAACACAATTCTATTGTTATTATTTGCATAACCAATTTTATTTGTTTTGACTTTATTTTGGCCAAGTCAGTCCAGTTAGTGTTTATAGCCATAAAATATCTTCCAGGTAGAACTCTTCCCATGTTCAAGTGAGATCTGAAAAGCTGAGCCAGTCAGTTTGTCCATACTGACCATACAAATTGAAAGGAATTTCCCCTATAAAAAGAACCACACAGTGAGGTCTTGCTTACAGGGCTAGCTGTTGCATTAACAGCCCTTGCCTCAGGGACACCAGAAATGACAGCACTGGTTTAAGTGGTAGATTTAAGTCGTTAATTGTAACCCATGGAGTCCACATTGAGCCCTATAGTAAAATAAATTAATCTCCCTAATGCCAGACGATTTTACTCATCAAGGAGAGATTGCTGGCGCTTAATGGGTTAAACCAATACTCAAAGGGATGGTTCAAACAAGCTAATGGCCTTTTTAAGATACATACAACAAACTATATCAGAGAGTACACAAATTACAATCCTGGGTAAAGCATGCATTCTCAGATCAGATGAGCTTTGTCATGCCCTAGTTCACCATAAGCTCATGCATAACAAAACCTTTGGCTAAATCTATAAAACATTAATTCCCTTGTTAATTAACATACTAGCAAATCATATTTTCATGTGTTCATATACATGCACAACTATTCCTTGGGATTGAGGGATGAAATTATTATATTTTAAAGTTGAAAGATTCATCTACAACCACATTTCAAATACTCGTGGATTAATTTAAAAAAAGTAGAGTACATTCTACCATTTATTCCCAATATTTAAAATATTTTAGTACCTGTTTATAGTCTGTTGAAATAAATACGGCCGTTCAGCTCCGGCTTGAAGTATCGTGTTTGCCCACATTTCGCGAGGTTTTAACAGTTGTTTGTTGTCTGAGGACGAAAATTAACGTGTACGGCTTCCACATCTTATAACAAATGATCAGCAGTCGAAACAATATGTCGAAAATATCAAAACAACAAGGATTCGCTACAAAAAGTCGAAATATTTTGATAAAAAAACAGGGGGGGGGGAATTGTGGCGGGCTCATAGTTGAGTCTTGTTCAGTGGCAATTACCATGAATTTATGGACAAGTAGTCATGGAAATGGCCCTAATTTTGCCCGAAAATCCGCCATGTTTTGACGGACACTTCGTTCACTGAACGAAGTATAAGAGCAGGTCCTCGAGTTATTATACAGTTCAGTGGTGGACCTCCTCGCAGATCTTAAAATCATGGCTCTTTACGAGTAATTGGATGAGCAAGATTTCAATTTTCGAAAACAAATATTTACAAAATCGTTTCATAGAATGAGCTATCAAGCAATTTCGACGGTTTTGAAGAAATAACTTGATTTAGTATGGGAAATATTAATCGTGTAATATAGGGTGTATCAAAAAAAAGGTAATCGAACTTCAGCGCGCTAATGTATCTGAATTACTCTGCGTATTAACGAGATTTTTTCACATTCGGAAAGATGATGCTTTTAGCTGTTGAATGATATCTTCTTCATGCCAAATGTTAGTAAGAATCGCATATTTTCACCGTTGAGAGTTGGGTCTAAAACCATTGAAAATGAACCCCCTTTGGTACTTAAGATGTGAATTTCACTTCATTAATTAAACGACGCACATATTCATAATTATTATTCAGTAGGAATAAATCTTAGCTAAGCTACGACACGTTCGTGATTAATTGCTTTTACTTTTGTTATGCATTGTTTTAATTAGGCACGGAGGTGAAAATATGCGATTTTGACTAACATTTTTTATCGGCCTCGTACATGCTTATTTTTTCTCCACTTGGTATGAAAAGCATGTCATTCAATAGCTAAAAGCCTGATCTTTTCAAATATGAAAACCAATTGTTCATACCCCGAGCGATTCACGTATAATAGAGAGGTTAAGATACCCCGGTTCCGGTCTACGGGTACGAGTATCGCCATTTTATTAACCAATTTCTGCTGATGTCAGCATTTTTACCCGTAATTTCTACCCGTTTCCCCGCGGTAAGCCACGGTCTACACGTAAAAGACAAACGGGTACGGGTGTTTTCTGTTTACTATTTGTGGGCCGTTTAAATAGTAAAAATTTTCAACATCTTACCCAAATAAATAATGCTCATATGCTTGTCAAAGTTTTCAACAATCTATGGCGAACTTTAACAGCGAAAGTTACCATTCTCTGATAGGTTTACTCACGCTGGAGTATCTTGGGTTTCTTAAGTTACAAGTCGTTCCCCGATTTACGGGTACGGGTACGTGTATATCACCCGTACTCGTAAACCGGAACCGGGGTATCTTAACCTCTCTAATAGCGCGCTAAATTTCGATTACCTTTTTTTTTATACACCCTATATTTTAATTGATACACCCTATATAATTAATTGCCCTGTTTATAGTTTAATAAAAAAATTTCAACACTGAACTGAAATTAGTTAATAATTTGAACTTATTTTGTTTTTCTAAGTAAAAAACAGTTTATCGGCAAAAGAAGTTAAATTAAATAAACATTTCAAATTATTTTAAGGAACAGTTCCGATTAAATTTTACGTAGCTACTGTATTTAAAACACAAGCAGCAGTATTTTATCAGATATATAGATACGAGACGAAGCCGAGTACATTTAGGTCTCGAGAAATTCAACTTTTAAGTTTAAAAAGTTCATGTAAATCAACTAATCAAGGCAAATCTCTATTACATATAAAGATACGACACGCTTATGATTTTTTTTCGTGTTTTCCTCATGAGTTTTTAAAATTAAATCAAAGTTCACACAATGCAAATTAAAATACATACATGATGTACTAATCTTACCAGTATATCAATAACCGTGTTGTTTATGCGACAGTTGGTGCATAACTCGAGTCTATTTTCAGTCTTAGTCAATTGCTAATACTTCTTGTTATATCAAAGTTTGGAAAATATAAGCTGGTGGTTGCAACACCGCGGAAAAACGTCTGCGCATGCGTCAACCTTATCTGTAATAGTAATGCGAACTTGATCAGAAGCTGTTCCGAACGTTTCCGAAGGCTCAAAATGGCGGTAAAAAGGAGTGACTTCATTGTGCGTCTTTACAGCCAGATTTCAAGCGCAAAAATAAACATGTCATTCTAAAAACTAGGAATAAATACAGTCAGAAGGTTCAAGAAATTGTATTGTACAAGAACATGAACTAAAGGTGATTGTTGACAAATTTATCGTCTGAAACATTTTGTTTATCAACTAAGCAACGACAATTTCCGAATTTTAGTTTGAGATACATTTCTTTAAAAAAAACTGTGTCGCCAAATATAAAAAATTTGCGTGTTCACAATAATTAAACTTTAGGATTTATTCTACAATTTGCGTGGGTTAAGAAGCTTAACTTTTCGAGAGTTTTCTTAACATTTTCGTTTGAATTTTTGTTTTGAATAATTTTGCAAAAATTTTCGAAGTCGTGTCCGTTAAAATCAACATTTTTTTACATGAATTATATTTCATTCCATACTTTAAATGTCAGGACGCTTTCAATTAATGTCTAGTCTACCTATTTGCCATATTTTCTCGTTTGTTTTACTCATTTTTGACCAATTAATAAGCATGTTTTTGTTTTAGAAATTGATATTCAAATTCCCCGCCATATTTTCATAATTTGGTGCATGCGCAGACGTTTTTCCGCGGTGTTGGTGGTTGCTGTATATATGAATTTCTAGTGGTAATTCTCCTGAAATCTTGCGTTTTAATAGCGTCTTTGGCTTTGATGGACTCAATAAATTTTCTATGCAATGTCTTTAAAACAATAGGTTTGTTCAAGTAAACAAAATGGATGGATATAGCTGCACTATTAAGATCACACACAACTTAGTTGATCGTGAATTGGTGAGTCCTAAAGTATACTTAGAAAGAGGAACGACACGAACACCTCCATCATATAGGATAGCAGCAGGTTATGAAGATGCAGACAAGAAAATTGCTATCTTTGACTCCGACGATAAGATAACGAAAACAGATTTTGTTTCGTCAGGGAGCATGAGCTACGACATTGGTAAGTCGCACCTTCTCATCGTTGTATGGAATGTAGTGACACATGGAACATTTTTGCCCGGAGAGGGGAAAAATTCCTTTTATTTTGCTGTTGTAAAAAAAAAGGATATCGACTGGAAAACCTCCTTGAAGACATGGTACGACTATGCGCAGAAACAAATGAATGACGCTTCGACAACAGGACGTTATGTTGAACTAATAAACAATGCTTCTGACGCGAGCTTTAATTTTACTATACATACTCACATGACTAATGATAAAAACGCCCAGTTAAGCTTGATTATCAATGATCCGCGCGCAACATCTGAAACAACCCCAACAACACGTGCTCTTGCTACAGCCATTGGAATGAGTGCACTTTTTACTGTAATGGGAAGTTTGAGCAAAATGGCGCTAAGGCATTTACCCACCGATACCCAATCAGTTGTAGTAACGGTGCAAAATGATTTCGTTCTTACAAGTTTAGAAAATCCGCAATGGAGTTTGAAACAGGCCATTATTTTTGACTCCATTCCATTCGAGATCCCTGCTCAGGAAGAGCGGCAAATGACCTTTAAGGTCCCTTTTGGTTATACCGGAACAAAAAGTATCTTCGGCAAAACAAAACACTCTGCAATTTTTGTAAGTTACAGGATAAAAGGAACTGAACAACGCCTCACTTTTACAATTTGGTGGGCGAAGAAACTTAAATTAGGTTCGGAACTTAACCACTATTCAGTTTCCCTCATGCGTGGCAGTATTAGTCCCAGTTTGATTCAAAAGATTCTCAAAAATCGCGGAAGTACCGACGGGTATGTGGAAAATGTCTTAGCAGCCACGCAGTACTTGGACTACCAATGCAGAGAAGACACATTTGATATTATGCAAGTAGTAAATGGTGTTCAGTCCAAGGTCGAGAAAATCGTTCGTATGGCTGTAACAATGGGTGATAGCACTGCCAGCAATATGGTAGTAAATATCGGGGAAAGGAAAGGAAATAAACTTGATAGAAAAGAACCATTTTTTCAGGCCTGCTATGAAAAGTAAACAATGTAATAAAGTCAAGCTTTTCAAAGTTTACATTTTCCGCAGAAGTTATATTTCCCACACATTTTATGCTGAACATGTAGATTAGTGTTTTAATAGATATAAAATGGAATTAGTGATTTAATAAATTTTTTGTTGTTGCAAGTTTATTGCTGTGCATAATTATTAATTTAACTCTGGCGTAGAGGCGAAGGACATATAGCTTGCTTGCGCAAACCGACACAATATGATTAGTAATGTAGGTGGTTTTCGATCCGGGATTTTTAGAGCAGAGGAAGGGCGGAGGAATGAAGAGTTATCAATATTCATGATAGTGAGGAGTGGAGTGGGAGGGGGGATGAAGAGTGTGCTTGTTACATATTCAGTAGGGCACATGGTCTTGCACAAGATCATTAGCATTAAACGAATGGGCACTTGGCAGCGCAGTGCGAAATTATGCGCAATGACGTCATGCACTGATTATGCGCAAGGTAAACCTAATCTAACATCTTCTAACGATACTATGCAATGTTCAACGATGTTGCACATAAATATTGATCACGGTTTAAAAACGCTGCAAAGATTGTTGTGTAACCAGTGCCACCTTACGCTGCATAAAACATGGTACTTGCCCAATATGATATTCAACAATTTGTTGCAAAATCCAGTTAAGAATAAAATTTTAGTTTGAAAGCATTTTACAATTTTCTTTTCTTCGCGACGCAGTTCTGGATTTCCCCAGAAAAATATAAGACAGTTGAACGTCGAGTTAATACTAGTGACAAATGTGCTAAACCATATTTTAAAGAACAGCAGTTGTCTATCTTTCAAAATCCTTATCGATATCAAAGGCATGAAAGTTGAATATAAAAAGACAGACAATTGTGGAAAGCGCAAACGGAAAAACAGGCAAGCACCAAGGAACATGTGGAAATGTTTTTGAAATTTAAAAAAAAATGTTTCTTTCTCGATGATCGGAGGTTGCTGTTTACTAGGGTTGGAACAACGCTTTCATCTTTGCCTCGATAAACATTGGCGATAATAAACATGTTATGTACTATTTAAAGCACGCGTAGGAGTGTTTTATCAGATATAAAACGTGAGGCGCAGCCGAGCGTTTTATATTTGATAACACACGACTACAAGTGCTTTAAATGGCTTAAAAAACGACCCATCTTCTGATGAGTACATTAGCGAAGTAATTTTTAAAATAAACTTTGTCTAAACCGAGAAAGTCAAAGCTAAAGTTTATGTAAATTAACATGATTTTTTATCACATATAAAGATACGACACGCTTATGATTTTTCTTTGTGTTTCGCTCCTGAAATAATAATGAGTTTTTTAAAGATTATATAAACAAATGAACACAAACACGAAAAATAAAACAAACACAGTAGGTAATCAAATATTCCGATCCTGAAAACATACAAGTCTTCTTTTTGGTAAATATTTCATCACTTACTTTTCAAACGTTATTCTGTTGAACAATATAGGGCCTAAATATGGAAACACACGCAAAACCTTTATATATATATACACATACACTGTCAATTTTTAAATTTAAAACAGCTAAAGTTTTGTCACGTTGAAGTACATCATATATGCCTCTTAAAGCAAAACAATACAGCAATGTTCATGATAAGTCATACACGACAACGACAAAGAGTTCGGCAAATACCGGGTCTGTGCAAAGACACTTAGGCCTAAAGGCGTGAAACTGAGTGAAAGAATAAATGAATAAGAAATAAATGAGAAAAAAAATGCCGAGATAGTCAGCTTTGCTTGTCGTGTTACCAACGCTCCTATTGAGAAGTTGTAACATATAAGCTTTGCGGGGAAGCTGCATGCTGGTTAATTAATTGTCTTGGCCCCATTCAGGTTTCCTGTATTGCAGGTTTTCCCTGGTCTCCCTAACTATGCAGCTGTAGTATAAGCGATAGTAATTCTCAAAAAAAAAATCCTTTTAAAAAAGCAAAAAAAAAGTTTAAAAAGTTAGATCAGGGTTATGGGTTTGTGGTTAGGGGTTAGTGGTTAGGGGCCGGTTAGTGGTTAGGGGTTAGTGGTTAGGGGGTAGTGGTTAGTGGTTAGGGGTTAGTGGTTATAAAGGGTTAGTGGTTAGTGTTGGGGTTGGGGTTAGTGTTAGGGGTTAGGTGCCGCGAACGTCTCATGATGATAAATTCAAAATGTGACGCTAATTTGTCATAATGATAAATTCGGACGTGTTCAAGAATTTACTCATATAGTAAATTCAAAGGTGGAGCTCATGCTGTGTTCTATCTAACGCCAGACGGTTTAACTCGGCAAAGTGTTAAGGCCGGTTTTCCACTAGGCGGAATTTTGCACGCGGAGCGGAATTTTTCTTTGTCTTGTGATTTCTTGGGTGGAACTAATTAGAAAATACAAAGAAAAATTCCGCTCCGCGCGCAAAATTCCGTCTGGTGGAAAACAGGCTTTAGTGAGCTGGCGCTCGATCAGTAAGTTAAACGACTTTTGCTCTTTATAGTCTTATTCGAGCGATCGATTAATTTTCCAAAGTGTTGGAAGCCAAGTTGCCATTAGGTTATTACATGCTGCAACATACTCGTCACGCATCACTGCAAAAAGTAGAAACACATGTCGGGGGCTTTTTGATAAGAATGCTAACGGTTACTATACAGCGCAGTCGCGTTTATAGTAGTTGAAACAAAAATTATATAAATTGGCGCTAACAGACCCAGTTAAGATCTTGCAGACTGAAAGCATTTTATTAGGCTACTTTCATTCCTTCATGACATAAAATTTAATTTCTCCAGAAAAATATTAAACAGTTGAATGTCGAGTTCATAACGACAACTGGGCCCGACCATATTTTAAATAACAAGACTCAAGTCTATCGCGCGTAGAGGATTGTTATGCCAAACGCGAAACAGAACTTATAACTTTTGGAATAGAACACATGAAAAGCAAGCAACGGCCAAAGAACATGTGAAGATATTTTTGAAATTGAACTTGCTTCTTTTCCTTTCTTTATTACTTGCTATAGCTAGAGCATCCCTTTCATCCTTGTGTTTCGACTTGGCAATGATGAACGTGTTGTTGTTTAAGAAAATGAATAAGAACAGCAGAGATAAAACAAAAGCGTTTACAAAAACATTAACAAATTCTTCAGTTTGAAAATATGAAAATGTCGAGTGACTGACTTGTATAATCATAAAAAATGGTGAGTGCGGTTTGATGGATTAATGGATATTTTAAGGCAAAAAATCATTCGGCATTCCGGGCGTTAATAGCGCAATTCTGCCCAATTACTTTCTTTTGAAATCGATTGTTTTTACAGTCTGTGAACACGAATATATGAACATCTCCCCCCGATATACCGGCGCCACTGCTGTTAATCTATTGATGTACGGTAGCTATAGACTGCAAGCGGTCCCTCCTTTCCGCGGGTTTAGATTTCCGGGCACGAGAAAAGAAAGGAGGGACTGCAGACAACACAGTCAAGAAATGAAACCGCGTTGCCCACACAACGCAAAATTCCCATTGGCGAAATCGATACGCCTATCAATCAAATATGATATGTAGTAATTATGCTATAAACAATTTCCAGAGTGAATGTTGATTTTATACAGGGTGTGTCAAAATAAAAGTAATCGAACGTCAGCGCGCTATTGTATCTGAATTACTGCGTATGAACGAGATTTTTACATCTTCGGAAAGATCAGACTTTTAGCTGTTGAATGATATGTTCTTCATGCCAAATGCATAAAAAGTAAGCAAGTACGAGTCTGATAAAAAATGCTAGTCAGATCGCATATAACATTTTTTATCGGACTCGTACTTGCATTCAACAGCTAAAAGCCTCATCTTTTCGAATATGAAAAAAAAGTTCATACGCCGATCGAGTAATTCAGGTACAATAGCGGGCTGAAGTTCGATTACCTTTTTTTATACACTCTGTAAATAAACATGACATTAACGGTTTCCTATTGAATAGATTTAATTGGATATAGTAATGTTTATGCAAAGGCGGAACCAATTTGACCAGAGCAAAAAGTGGGCGTATTTCGTTTCTTGCTGTGTTGTCTGCGGTCCCTCATTTCTTCTAGGGGCCACTCGCGGTCTACGGTAGCTAAGACAGCGTAATTGCGATTCGTCTTCGGGTCCACTAAGTCAAATAACGGTTGTTCTAGTCCTTCGGATGGTGACGTACTGTTCTCAAACATGACATGTTTCTGTTCAACTTGTTCGAAAAATTTCTCAGGGTAACCTTTTGACATTAATGTCTTCGTTACATGTTTGCGTTCTTGTTGTTTGCCTTCGTCTGTGCTAGGTAAATGCTGCCCTATGTAAAACCAAAGGCCACGGAAGCATCTCGAAAGTGCGGGGGAGGGGGGGGGTCATTGACAAAAATTGCCACTTCCATACCGGGTGGCCCAAAAAAAAGTACTCCGGTTTGATTTGTAATAACTTCTAAACAAGTAAAGCTATCAAACAGAAGTAACTTGCATTAAATAGAGGAAGGACTAACTTAGATTTTGATATATTACAGTTGCATTTTACTTAAAAATTCACGGAGATATTAATGTTCAAAATCGGGAGCACATTTTGGGATGTGTCTAAAATTAGCGAAAATCGGCGTATCAAATTTTAACTCCCGCGTTTGTTTGCTTAATGACATATCAGGGTAACTTGTATTTCAGCGAATTGTCGTTAGGGTTTGTAAGGGATATGGCGTAGATTTAGACATCTTACATGTAAGTCTTAACTCATTGTTTTCTGAAATATGAACGTTCGAAATTATGTAAGTATTCAATAGGTCTTTGCAAACTTAAGGTACATGAAAGACCATGCCAGGCAGGCGCTTCAATTTTTCTTAAATAACCTATTTTTTATGTTTTTCATGGGTTCAAAACAAAGTTGATTATTTCTCGGTTAGAGCAGGATGAATATTGTTCTTTAATGGAGGAAATAATATTGCTTTTTGCAAATACACATCACAGTATCAAAGCTACTATTTTGTTACGTTTTGTTCCAAAAATGTTGGATGTCTCTGGGGAGTTGCTTGTTATGACTTTACTTATGGAGTTGTATGGTTTGATTGTGTTTCATTCTCAGTTTATTCTGAACTTGCCAAGATTAAGAAAGGCAAAAGAGTTTGGTGTTCTTAACAAGATTTCAGAACGTTGCAGAAGTTAGAAAATTCATTCAATGTGAAGTTAGAAAATTCACAATTCCAATGTGACAGCGTGCCCTAATTCAGAACTACGAACGATCCATGACGATCCTTCGCGATGCAGTGGTCACATGGAATAAGGAAACGTATTCGTGCTAGGAACACACGCGGATTTCGGACGAATAAATCTTGCTTGTATTTTGTAGATAATAATACTTTGTTTCATAATAAACAATTTGTCAAGTGTCATTTATTTACAGGTAATAGTGCATGTTTCAGTTGGGTAAATCTTAATTGATTAATATTTGATACGCTGTTTTGGGCATATTTCAGACACATCAAGAAATATGCTCCCGATTTTAAACATTAATATCTCCGTGAATTTTTAAGTGAAATACAACTGTAATATATCAAAATCTAAGTTAGTCCTTCCTCTATTTGATGCAAGTTATTTCTCTTTAAAAGCTTTACTTGTTTAGAAGTTATTACGAATCAAACCGGAGTACTTTTTTTTGGGACACCCGATATATATATATATATATATATATATATATATATATATATATATATATATATATATATATATATATATATATATATACGAAAAGAACGCCATTCAACCTAATACGCATGTTCTCTGCATATTACAGATTTAAATCAGCGCAAAGGCCTTTAGGCCAATTGTGCCCCAAGCTCACTACCAGCAACTGCGGACAGCTGTTTCGCCCTTTTGGGGCTCGTCAGCGCAGTGTAGCTGATAGTGAGCTTTTCATCCGAAAAGTATTTATACAACCAACAATGAGATGATGGATGTGGGACACATAAATTATATATACGACAAGAGCGCCATATATATATATATATATATATATATATATATATATATATATATATATATATATATATATATATATATATATATATATATATATATATATATGGCGCTTTCCATTAACATGGCCAAACCGGTCAGAACGGTCAAATTGTTGAATGAAACACAAAACATTTGGGCTTCGGACCTATCTAACCGGAAAATTTTGATAACATTAGAATGAGGTCCATTTTCGCTATAGACATTTGAGAAACATGGACCAGATCTTTTGTTTGATACTGAGAAAAGTATTCAGGTCTGACCGGTCAGGCCATTGAATGGAAAGCGCCCATAGATGAAACATTGGAGTCAGTTTATGTTTTCACAATATACATTGTTTAATTCAATATGACTTCATATATTATTTATGTCAGAAAAAATGTGTTTGTCTGAAAAATGCTGCCATTAATTAAGGTGGCAGTTTATTACATTTTGTTTGTTACTGTAGTTACTGAGTTCAGGTGATTTATTATTTTAGTCTCTGACTCTCTGTAAAACCAACCTCAACTTTACCGCAGATTTTTCAGTATAATACATATCATGTCCTTCAACAGACAAGCCACTCCCCAAGAGCACTACATGCATTTTGATCACATGTTGTAACTTGGCTGCCTTCAAACATCTAAGAGTTCTTCATACACCTTTACTGGCTCTTGTCTTAATGTAAGTCACAGGCCTACGTAATACCACTGTCTTTTTCCTTGCTGATCATTTCCTCGGGAACAGAAAAGGGAAGGTTTAGCTTGTTTTGCTCTGCAAAAAATAAATTATTTTAGTGGAATTATGGCCATTTAAAGGGTCTTGTAGATGGAATTCATTGAGTGGGAATTTGGGTACATTTATATTCAATAATTACAAGACCCTTCAACTACAGTATAAATTTATCAATAAATTAAAGTGAGAATGCCATAACCAACACATGGCAGCACCCTATAGTATATATATATATATATATATATATATATATATATATATATATATATATATATATATATATATATATATATATATATATATATATATATATATATATATATATATATATATACGAGTAGGTTTATGAATACGAAACGCAAAGAGTGCTCAATATCATAAAGATAGAGCAAATGTAGAATTTCGCTTACCTCAAAATTCCGCAACAGTCTGTTTCATCAGTAAAGAATCATCAGGCGGTATCGCCTGATGATTCTTTACTGATGATACCGCCTGATGATTCTTTACTGATGAAACAGACTGTTGCGGAATTTTGAGGTAAGCGAAATTATATATATATATATATGTTCAAAATGAAAAATAAAAAATTAAAAAATTTTAATGTGCTGCTACTTAAGTTTCACGTAATACCGATCGTCAGACAGCAATAGATTATGGTGCACCATAATCTATTCCTGTCTGACGATCGGTAATATAATACGTGAAACTTAAGGTGGCTCCCTACAGTTATTCTTGTTTAAGCAATAATTCCGTAAAACAGGCTTATTCGTGCAGAACGCGAATTCTTTTCGACTTGGTAGCAATATTGGTCACCTAAGGAATATTTCGAACTAGATTTCGACGATGTCAATGTTCCCATGGCAACATGACGACAGCATAAAGCCTTCCAATGTAACCCATAAATGTGCCGCTATCTCAAAAATGATATTGGTGACCTATCTTTTTTATTTCATGTATCAATAAGCAATAATGCTCTGCAACTGTGATAAAAGTTTAAAAAAATTCTGTTGTGTGTGATTTTTTTAAAAGCGAAAAATTTATTGCGAAATTCCCACTCTACAGATTTTTTTAAAATTTGAAATTTATAAAATTTACCGCAAAATAAACTCGTGGTCAAAATTTGAAGATAGGTCACCGATGAAACTAATGAGTAAAATGCAAATAAAGTTAGAAAATAGGCTCGTGTAACTCGAGAAATTCCCATATTGAAAAGCGTCGCTGACTAGTAAAAGATTGTACGCGGGCTCAGAACGAGTTTTCATTCAGCAAAATCGAGCGGAAATGTTGTTTTTACTGTTTTGTTTTTGTCAACTTTTCGATTTATTTGAGTGCCATGGACAGCCAAGGATTATTGTGAAGGATTAAATCGATGAAAACAAGGTTGAAGCTAATTGAATCCTGCCGTTTACTCAATCTGAGTTGTAACAGCCTTTAAACAGGTGGACGTGTTTTTTTGTTTCATGTTTGGTTTTGTACTTTTTGCTAAAAATGAACAATTAGGCTATGAAACTGAAATATTTTTCTGTTTACATATAATGACTTTAATCTTGTAGAAACACGACTAAAAACGTGAACGTTTTCTTGAGAAGTAAACAACTTTTTAAACGTTTGTATGCAATTTTGCAAATGTTTTAATACAGTTGAGTCAGTTGACTGTGTATAAAAAAATTAAAAAATATTGTTTCGTAGCTATTTTTTGGTCTACTGATATTCGTATCATATGTAGAATTGCTGTATAGACTCGCAAATGATTTGGCACTCAAAACGAAGTATTATTCAACGCTTTTTTCCATTGTCAATTTTTGTTTTGTACTTTTGTTTTGATCATGCAGTTGCGTGGGATAGTTCACGTACTTGTCCCGCGAACATCCCGCACGGAACTGTAGGGAGCCTCCTTAAGTAGCAGCACATTAAAATTTTTCATTTTGAACAACATATTAAGCTCTGCGAAGTTCCCGCATCGAGCACTGTACTCGTTTTGGCTCCAACAACCAAGCAAGTTATATATATATATATATATATAAGCTGAAAATGTTCTAGAGTGTGTATTATATAATTTCCATACCCAGCGCAAGCAGAAAGATGTTGTCTGGCGCGGCTGGGTCTTGAACCCGCGACCTTCGAATTACTAGATCGACGCTCTACCAACTGAGCTACACGGTCAGACGGATTGACAACATCTTTCTGCTTGCGCTGGGTATGGAAATTATATAATACACACTCTAGAACATTTTCACCTTAATATATATATATATATATATATATATATATATATATATATACAGGGTGTATCAAAATAAGCGCAATTCATCTTTTGTGCTTAATAACTTTCGAAATACTATCTCTAGTTAAACGCTTTTAGGCTTACTTCAAAGCCTGTTCTTTTCTCTTTCAAATAAACTATTATCCTTGTCTCCAATGCTTGTAATAATTGCACAGGAAAAGATTTAGTAAAACCTATCAATTTTAGTTGCTGTTTAATTATACTAGTTTACTATGTTATTGTTTAGTCGGTTTAAATGTTAGAATTTTCTTCTTTAAACTTTAATGTTGTCGTCACTACATCTGGAAAACCACGTAAGAACAAATTAAAAGTATTTTAAAAGAGACCAGGTTGTTTGAAAATTCTAAACGAATGCTAAAAATCGTCAAAACATTCTGGTGTCTGAGCCAGAGTGTCATCGAATTGCGATGTAATGTAAACAGAAATTACAGCAAGTTGATGTCAGTCGGCTTGGATGGTCCAAGCCAAAATTATATTGCATTTGAAGTTTCAAACTGAGTTAAAAATAGTGGAAGAAAAGCCGTAATTATCCTTATTGTTACAATCCATTTAATAAAATGCAACATTTTTTTGTTTTAATGAAAAAAACAGTTATTTTCATGAGAACGATTTGTTATTCCATCTCAATTTTATTAATCTCCAATCGCAATAACGTAAAGTATTATTACCCGCGAACCAATGGGTCAAATTTAAGACACAACCGACTGTTAGAAAGCTGAATGGCTACGCTTTAAAATGAATGTAAACTTTAACGTTTTCGTTTATTATTTGTTTAGCAATTTACATTTCAGTCGAGGATTGCGCTTTTTTTGATACACCCTGTATATCATGGCATAGTAAGCCACGAAGATATTTGCTATTCGGAAAATGAAGACGCAATTTGCAAACAAAAATACGCATATTTTACGCACAAACATATTACAGAAGCAGTGCGGTAGGGAGCTTTTGTTTATTGGGGGCAGAAAACGAGGGCCGGAGGGCCGAGGAAATTTTTAAATTTCAAAATGCCATTTCATATAGACATGTCTCTGAAATGCCATTTGCTGGACTTTGGGGAAGTTTTGACAGAATGCTGATGGTCAGAAAAAAGCGTTTTTAAGCGTCGAAATTTAAAAATAGTGACAATACAATTTTATAATATTTTCTCTGTTTAACAACTAAAATTTTCAGTCTACTATTATTGCCATAATTTTCCGAATGACCAACCCGATTTTCTGAATATGTTGATTCTAAAAAAGTTGGGGGGTTAACCACCACCCCCCGCCCAATACCCCCTCCTCGCTACATCCCTGTCTGTATCACTGCAGCTACCTACAGCATATATATATGCATGGTTTAACTAATAAGTATACGTCATAGGCAGCAGCTCAGGTCATGCTTAACTAGGACTCTGAAACAACTGAGTCGACCACCGAAGGTGCGAGCCTCTAGAGGGGTCTGGTGGCATGCCCCCTTGAAGCTCAGATTTTTGAAGCTCAGATAAGCTATTTCCAGGATTTTGAAAAGTTTTCCAACAAGAAATTAACCTTACACTAGTCCCTGAAAATCAAACCAGCTGATCTTCTTGGACTGGTCAAATCGATCCCTGCACCAAATACTGGGGCAGGATATTTTTTCCCCAGTTTGTTAGTGCAGGTATTATTTTTTTTGTTCAGAATAGCCTTGCAGGAATTTTTTTTCAAAATCACCCCCCTCCCCCCCCTCAAAAGTTAAATGATCGGCCCCTTAGTAAAACATGGACTCTTGGTAAGCATGATGTGCTATTCCACTGAATGATTCACACCAATTTTTTCCTGAAACATTTAAACATTTTTTCATTGTGTTATATTTTAAGCTGCCGTATTTCTTGAGACCCCTCTTGAGTCTGAGGCAGTGTTGTAACGAGTCACCTATAGGTCGAGTCACGAGTCGAGTCGAGTCACTCAAAGGTCGAGTCACGAGTCGAGTCATTTCAGTTTTTGATCGAGTCGAGTCGAGTCGAGTCAGTGGCTTCACTCGAGTCGAGTCGAGTCAGCGGCTTCACTCGAGTCAAGTCGAGTCACTGATTTAAGTCGAGTCGAGTCAATTTCTAAACTTGACTTGAGCTTGACCTAGCTTGCAGTAGGAAATTAGTAATCAAATTTGCGTTTTAATCTAATTACTTTAGTCATTTAATAACAGTATCTGGGCAGCTATAGGCTGTGCCAATATCACAGTTCTAGTCAATATTAAGTACAACCACATGAGATGTCTCATCATGCCTGCTGATCGAGTGTACGTACATACAACTAGCAAAACTTGCAACTGGAGTCAGAATTAACAAAGAATAGACTTTAATTAACAACGCTTTGTAAGTTAATTTGAAATTATATAGCCGTTCATAAATACCAAAAATAAAAATAGCCTGTCAAAATTAGTATATAAGACAGTACAAAATAATGTGAGACTCAATTTTAAAAACTGTGGCACTAGCGTTGTTTCTAAAAACAAATGTAATATAGGTATGCCCGTCAGGAATATGTTCTATGCAAATCCCATATATTTTCTGATAAAGTTTCGAAGTTCTCATTGTCCACAGGGCCCATTGTTCTTCCCAAGCAATACAATCACAATAATTGTGATGAATTTATTCTGTACAAGTTGTAGCTTAGTTGACTCGAGTCATTTAAGGCAAAATCAGCAAGTCGAGTCCGAGTCGAGTCATTTGGAGCTGTTGACTCGAGTCGAGTCGAGTCATTTTTCGTATTGGACTCGAGTCGAGTCGAGTCGCTGAAAATAGCGACTCGAGTTGACTCGAGTCAGAGTCAATGACTCGACTCGTTACAACACTGGTCTGAGGGGCAAGATATTTTTGAAAGTGTCGCGTATCGATTTATTCCACGAACTTCCTAATTATGTACGTTTCCCTGATGACCCCATCTCCCCCCCCCCCACCTTACAAACCTAACACGAAATTGAATAGGGGTCGGTTGTATCAAAGGCGTTTGGCTTAAAGGGTGTATAGGCAAAAAATTAAAAACATTCCTTCTCAATATACATATATTGTAAGTACTTGAACTTAATTTTTATCAACTAAATGAGTAGTTTTATGCATTGTTATTATGTTTAGACAGAAAAGAAAAGTTTTGTAATCAATAGTTCATAGATTTGTTTAATTTATACAACCGATCCCAGATCTATTTATCGGCCGTTGTTCGCACGCAAACAACTGATATGTAAATGCTCATATTTAACTATTGGCAAACGGTTGCCGGTGGTCAGAATGTCTGACACCATCAATCCAAATTTCGTAAATTAGTATTGCAGGAAACATGCCGATTGTCGGAGAATCTTTTTATCGAGTATATATTTATAATCACGTCCAAATTACGTTTCTCCTGGGATAAATCGATGTGGACGTGTTACTGTAAATAGCAAAGGTGTTTACTGAAAAATCAAGAAATCATCTATATCTATATAGCATTACCTAGCTGTCGGTAAATAATTTGGTATTTATTCCACATTTACTTTGTCGTGAACTGCCTCCTATATTCATAACAACTCACTAAAAGTAGAGATTTCAAACGCTTTTATGAAAAATATATTTATTCTCGCCCGGCCCCGTCTCAACACAATCACACAAAGTTCTTGCAATGTACAAACCGCATGCTTTTTGATTGACACTTGCGCATTAATTAACTTCAGGTATGCCATAAACTGTTAAATATTAAATATTGACAATCTCCAACATACTTAAATGGTCGATGATTCTTGAAACTTTACGTTAAATATCGATGAGATCTCTTGTACACTAAAGTTGATGTTATTAAAATTACAATTTACAAAAAAAAACAGACAAGGAACTATGTTTTACTAATCGAGTCCATGTTTTACTAATCGAGTCCATGTTTTACTAATCGAGTCCATGTTTTACTAATAAAGTCCATGTTTTACTAATCGAGTCCATGTTTTACTAATCGAGTCCATGGTTTACTAATCGAGTCCATGTTTTACTAATAAAGTCCATGTTTTACTAATCGAGTCCATGTTTTACTAATCGAGTCCATGTTTTACTAATCGAGTCCATGTTTTACTAATCCAGTCCATGTTTTACTAATCCAGTCCATATTTTACTAATCGAGTCCATGTTTTACTAATCGAGTCCATGTTTTACTAATCGAGTCCATGTTTTACTAATCAAGTCCATGTTTTACTAATCGAGTCCATGTTTTACTAATCGAGTCCATGTTTTACTAATCGAGTCCATGTTTTACTAATCGAGTCCATGTTTTACTAATCGAGTCCATGTTTTACTAATAGAGTCCATGTTTTACTAATAGAGTCCATGTTTTACTAATCGGGTCCAGTCCATGTTTTACTACATGCCCAATTACAGTTATAGCCGGCCCACTAAACGGCTGAATTTAAATTAAAACTGCAGTAAAATTAGAAAATAATCGCAAATTAGCGAAATATATTGCAAATGTAGCTTATATTAAATCGCCATCAGATTGCACTATCGACTGACGTATAGTTATAAAGTATACTTTATAATTATACGTCAGTTTGTTGATAAATACGGCAAGCGCCATGTAAAGCTCATTGTAGTCACTGAAACCTCTGCGGAGGAGAGAGCAATCGGATGGCGATTTAATATAAGCTACATTTGCAATATAATTCGCTAATTTGTGATTATTTTTGTTAATTTTATAAGTTCATTGCAGTTTTAATTTAAATTCAGCCGTTTAGTGGGCTGCTATGCTATAATTAGATTGTTGTTGTCGTTGTGTAAAATTTAAATTTCTCCTGCGACATTTTGATTGGATACTAAATATAAACTTTGCTGTGGGCGGAAAGCGATCAGGTTAAGTTTTGTGTCAGGCTCTATTTGTAAAATAGAGCCTGATACTCAGGTTATATTTGTTGACGTATTTTCCAGCTGTGATCTTGTACCTTACTTGTATTAAAATTCGCGTCGTACCGCAATATCGCTCAGCTTTAAATTCACGCGATTTAATTTCGCGCACCTTTAAATTCGCGCAAGTAATTTTCCGTGTTCGTTCTTTTTGGTATCGTCATGTAAAATAAACGAAATGTCTCAAAAAGGACTAAATAAAAGGTAATGAGAATACACGCTTCTGGAAAGCAGTATGTCACCTAACAAACCTCTATCACTGAAATGGGTTCTATACCCAAAGTGATGTACTTTCCAAAGCCGTGTATTCCAAAAATCCAGTATTCCCATCGGCCGGCCTGTGCGTAAATTATCTTTGAGCTTCATTGCAGCAAATTCAGTGGGGGAGGGGTGTAGGAATTTGCCTTAGGCACTAATAAAAGAGGAGCTTGTTGACAGGTACTTAGAAAAAATTGTGAAAAGAATGAACATTATTTTTTCTCGCTCTGATATTAACTGCAGGTTGACCACCACATCTGCTGCACGATAGTGCTTAGTGAAACTTATCTAGAAAGGCCCATCTATACGATACGACTACACCCTGGTGTATGTACTCAAATAAAAACGTGTAAAGATGTCACAATTCAAATTTCGCCATAAACTGATGAACAGGAATAGTAGCATCAGCAGTCGTTTTCATACGCCAGAATGACAATCGTGTAATACGATTTAACAATCGTGTAATACGATTTAACAATCGTGTAATACGATTTGACAATCGTGTACGGAAAAGTTTTGGGCATTAATCATTATTGGGTTAACACAAAAAAATTATATTTTATATTTAAATATATATCAAAACTTAAAATGATGTCTGTTCTAGCGTCTGTAAAGAAACCAAAAATTTAAAGAGGCAAGAAAATGTGACAGGTTTATAAAAAATGTTACAATGAGGTAAAATTAAGTCCACCCTCTGACAAACATCCTGGTAGTGCACACCTTACTAACTTAGTTAAACCCACATATTTACATCACCTCGGACATCACAACTTCTCTACAGATAAAAATTATCCAATTAAAAACCGATAAGGTACTAGGCAAGCTTTGTATAATTCTGGTTCCTTTGCCGCAAACTCTGTGTATACTATTGTCAATATAATGTTAATGGAACTTGTTTCATTAACGATGAAAGGACTTCATGTAAGACTATTTTAATGTTTTAGTTAGTCGGAGTTTACTCGGACCTTAGTCGGAAGGGTTCGTAGGAAAAATGTGATGAGCTTGTAGAAATGTTTTGAACACGTTTTCGTATGGTTTTATGAAGTTTATAAAGTTTTAAGTAAGGTTTATTATTGTTAAATGTTAAGATAAAAGGAAAAGGATACTTGCTTAGGACAGATGTAAGTAGAAAGCCTTAGTTAATTCATTTTTGTGATTTAGTACTAATTTAATACATGTAAACATACCGATTTAATTTCATTATTATTTAGTTTCAGATTGTTGTTATTTGTGAATAAATCTTAATACTGAAATCCCAAGCGTGTATTGTATTATTGGATTATTGTATGTTAGCTCCAAGTTATCGTCGGTCCATTATCTGAAAATCTTGGTGTCTATTTAACGTGCTGATCGTGGTTTGGAGCTATTAAAGTATTAAAATGGATAAAGATAAAGTCAAGAATATTCGACGGGCTGCAAAAGGCACATTAACGAGGGCATTTATCGCTTGTAAGAATCTTATTGATGCTCCGCGCCCTGTTGTCGAAGTCAAAGAAGCGTTTGATGTTGTTAAAAATGCGTATAATGGTCTGGAAGTTAAGCATGAAGAATTTACAATGGTGTTAGATGACGCCCAATATGACGAAGCTGAGGAATGGATGCAAGCTTGTAACAGTGAGTACATGAAGTTTTCTATGATGTATAATGATTATTTGAATGCCAATGTTGCTGAAAAGGAAAATGATGATGTAGTAAATCAGGCTATAAATGAAGATGGAAATAATGCAAATGTGGACGGTGAGAATGATGAAAACAATAGTGTAAATGATGACCAGGAAAGTTTAGATATGCATGAGCCTGCTGAAGACGAACTAAGTAGTGTGACAAAGAATGTGAAATTGTCAAGCCCCTTTGCCATGAAACACGAGAAGCCAAAACTGCCCAAATTTGATGGAGATGTAAGACAGTACTTTATTTTCAAGTCAGATTTCCAGCATGCTGTAGAAGCCCACTGTTCTGAAAGGGACACCCTTACAATTCTTCGGTCGTGTCTTAATGCCCAACCAGCAAAGTTGATCGAAGGGATAAGTTCAGATTTGAAAACAGCATGGAAGTACCTAGATCAAAACTATGGGAATCCAAGAGTGGTGTCAGACACAGTCACATCAGATCTAGAGAAATTTAAGATAATCCAGCCTGGTGAGGATTATCGCTTCTGCGAGCTTGTTAATTTAGTGCGAAGATCATACAATATTCTGAAAGAAGTCAAGAGGAAACAAGATATCGACAACACCCATGTAATATCCTTGATAGAGAGAAAGATGACCAAAGATGATCTTAGAGTATGGTCGCGCCATATCAACAGTCGTAAGTTTGAACCGTCAATGGAAAATCTTCTTGAATGGATGGAGGAGGAGATGACAGCCCGAATACGTTCTGGTGCCACAATCCGTAAGAACACTGGAACCAGATCAGGGGTAAATGCATTTGGTTATAGAGAATCGAAAGGGGGGGAAGTCAAATCGAAATGTTATGTTTGTCAGGAAAATCATTATGTAGATGAATGCAAAAAGTTTATCGATATGACCCCCAACGAAAGATGGAAAGTCGTAAGGGAGCAAAGAGCATGTTTTTCATGTCTGAAAAGAAGTAAAGGTCACACTGCTGTGAACTGTACTCGAAGGAGAGAGTGTGG